TTCCCTAATGGCTCCAAAACAAAGTTATATCTCCCCTATTCTGACTTTTTTCTGCTTACTGCCTTTGCCAAAAAGTATCTGTCGTTATGGTCTCCAAATGTCTGTGTTGAATGATGTAACATTTTATGAGGTTAATATATAAATAAAGCTGTTCTATTTACTAGTTCAGGTATACATCTTATTTTCCCAACAGGATAGTGAGCTCTGATGTTTGATTTAAAATTATGTCTTCTACTTTTTCGTATTCATAATGCCAGTAATAATACTCAATAAATTTCTGTTACTGGTTGAATCTATAAACATACATATTTTTATACTGTATGTATCCCTGTAAATTTAGTAATTTATCTGAATAAAAGTTAAACAGTTACTGTTCTCTCATTTTAAGGAGCTGCTTTCTTTACAGAATTGCAAATGCAAATATTCCCAAATGTTTAAGATATTCTGCTTTGTATATTCAAACTATACTAAAGTTATACCTTTTAGGGTAATATTTTTAATTATTCTGGGGAAAGAAAAGAAAGCCCCTGAAGGCTAACAGTTTGAAATTGAACAGGACACCATTGGGAAGGGAGAGGGTCATGGGTCATCGTCAAACAGACAAAAAACAATGGAGACGATTGTGCCTGAAGATGGTGTATTTTTTTTCACGAGACAGTGTGTTGACAGTTTCCTTCCTCTTGGGTCATTGTTGTCTGCTAAATGATCTGTGACAGCAAATTGATCACAAGCTTTTTCATGCAGGAGATATAATACAGCCTTTCATTTTGTTACCTCCATTGCCAATTGCTGAATCATTTCTTTGGGAAATTAATGTTAGTTTAGCATATCATTTAGTAGTATAAGGCACTGCATGTAGCTCTGGAAGCAATAATAGTAGTGATTAATTTATCTTCACCAAGTTTCAGATTTCTACTTAAGTATGATTGCAAAAGCAATAGAACATTTGAAAAATGTTAGTCTTAAAATGTCTGGAATTATTTAAATAAATGAATGCATTAACATATTTAGATATTGCCCCATTCATTTCAAAATTTAGTCAAATATTTAAGGTACATATAAAAATTAGTGCTAGGAGACTTGTTCTAACTGAAAAGCTACTTCTTCCTCTAGAAAGCTAGGATCTTAGAATGGAAAACAGACACACAGTCTTTTACATTTGATATTTAAACATCTAAGCCAATCAACTGGTGATTTCACAAGTCTGAAAAATATTCCAAAGTAATATTTTGTTTGCAGAATGTTGACAATCTCTGCATTCAAAAAGTTTGTAGAAAAAAAAATTGAAAAGGCAGTTACTTAAGAGAACTGTTTTACAGTTCCTGTTGAATACTTTACAGCAAGCTTTGCTCTCCCATTAGGACACAGAAGTGTTAGCTCAGAGAAGGAAAACTACAGGCAGAAAGAGTAGAAACGAGTTCTTGTTTCCTCTTTAAAAATAGCCAGATTCTGTGTAAAAAATTAAACTAATCTCAATTCTGGTCTTTTGTTTCTCATAATAAAAAGGAAATAAAGGTGATTTTACTATAAGCTGATGTAGAATATAAGAAAATTGTTTATAGTAGAAAGAAAACGTACAGGTATAAATCTTTTCTTGAAGTTCTTTTTTAATGTTAGCCATAAAAGGCAGATATCTTAAACTTATGTTTTTCTTTTTACAATACACACATGGGTGTACATTTACATTTATTATTGAAAAATGATCTGGACATACCTTCTTTTTTTGTGATGTGTACGTATTAGTGGAGGAATTAAAATGTTAGAGTTGTTAAAAACTGAAAATTTGTTTTATGTCTTGTGGAAAGATATTGTTATATGAAACAATTTGCTCTGGTAAAATAATTTTAAAAAGCAAACTTGCAAACTACTCATTGTCTGATTTTAATTTATATTTTCAGATCAATTAAAATTTCATTTGATGATTACTATAAGACATGGTCTGAAATAGCTACATCGAAACCTACAAAATATCACAGAAATTCAAGTAAGATGATCTAGCCTTATCCTGTGCCCTTTCAGTATTATTATAGTTTATGTATAATTAATCTCTTAATTATTCTCAGCTTGTCTTGCTTTCAAATACTAATTGACATATATTTGCAGTTTGAGGTTGATAAAGTTCTCTATTGTCTCTATATACTAATCATTCAACAACTACTAATTTAGCTCCTCTTTTGTGTAAAGCCCTGGATTGAAGTCTGATTTAAAGAAAGAAGGAAAGATAGGCAATTGGAGAAAGAAAAGATGAAGTTCCCAATCTCATGAGATTTACTTTACTCCCTTCACTTTGCTAAGATTTCCTCTTGCTAAGAAGCCTTCATAGGCTAAAATCAATTATCTTCAGACCAGAGAAAGTATTGAGTAGAAAGACAGTAAACAAACATAAATGTAGGGCTTGCAATTATGTCAATCTAAGGAAAAATCATCTGTTGCTATTATACATAGGAATTAAAAAGACAGGAGAGAGTTAGATATATTTTCTGGTCCCATTTAATCACATATTTAGAGTACTATTTCATTTGGATCAAAGCAGATTATCCAGTCTATACACACTTAGTGAAATATGACTTTGAAAGTTACCAGTGACTTCCTAATTCCCAGTCATTTATTTTTTTATTCATTTATCAACCAAATGCAGTGATTATTTTTTAGGCTTTGTCTTAACTTGCCCAGTCATCAGCTATGCTCTCCTTGTATTAGATGAAACTATACATCCATAGTTTTCCTCCTCCCTTCCTTAGTGCTCCGCTGCCTCTATCCTTAGCAAAAACTTCTTTATTTAGTCTGCTCTACCCACTTTCTCTGAGAGACCTCATCCACCACCATGATTTTCATTAGCCTACCTTCCAGTAATTCCTAAAGCCTCATCTCTGGCCAGGCCTTCTCTTGAATTCTGCATGCATATTTACAACTGTGCATTGGACATCTCACATGTATTACAGGTATCTCATGCTTACGATGTCCCAAACTGAATTCATTATCTTGCCTTAAAACCTATCACCTTTATTAACTTTCTTGGTTAGCAGTAGATCACCATTGATTTACTTGCCTAAACCAGAATCACAGAAGTTTCCTACACTTCATCTCCCTCATTAAGCCTTATTGATTTTATCTCCTACAACATCATGAGTGTTTTTCTTCCACTCTACCCCATGACCACTGCCTTAATTTGTGGTCTCATCAAATTTCTACTTATCATTATAATGGTCTCATAATTAGTTTCAATAGAACAAAATATCACGTGCAAAAGACGTTTCCAGTTTTAAGGCACAAATTACAGCATAAAGTAGTACTAAGTTTAACAAATATAAAAACTAAATTCGATCAATAACTTCTAAGAAGTTACATGTTCGTTTAGGACGTTGGTTATTAATTATTTTGTGTTTATGTATGACCTTCCTCACTCACTCATGGATTCATGGTTAAGAAAAATATCTTAAGGTACTTTAAAAAACACAGTCTTTAGCAACTCTATCAGTATAAAAAATTTTATTATTTTTGATACCAGAGTACATAAGTATTTACTTCATTTCAAAGATTTGTGGTTAGATGCTGTTTAGTCAATTCAGCAAACACATCTTGAGTGCCTACCGTGTGTGAGGCACTGAGAAGCTCAGATGGGCTCTGGGAGGCAATAATCTTTAACCAACATTGTGCAACTGGCACATTGTAATGAATGACTCAAGCATCTAATTCCCTCAATCAAAAACCAAACCGATTGGTATAAGATGGCACTTTATGGAATGACATGTAAATATATAGAGGCTCTTGGAGACACCAAACTGCTAGGAAAAAAAAAAAAAAATAGAAGCACATTGCCAAAACGTAACAAAATTTGGAAATGATTGTCTTGCAATAAAGAACAATTAAAAATGAAACAAAATAATGAGGCATCACTAACTGCAGTTTCTTCTTTAAGAGTTTGATACCAAATGTTTAATTTGGTTCTTGTTTCTACATCTGTCACTAGCTTAGTATGTAATTTATCCCTCTTTGTGAAAGCAATAGCTGGTAATGGTTACCTCTAGCCCAAAAGAATTTCTGAGACTTTGATTCTAGCCCTTGGCGCAATATTTCACAATCACCCTGCCTCTTCTTCGCCCAGGGATTTGTTATAAGAATGTTTCAAGAGCTTTCCTTCAATAATAACCAGCACTTAATTAAAAAAATAAATGTAAACCTTACATCTGCTGCTGGCCATTTTGTCTTTGGATAATTCAACTGGATGAGATCCAATACTATCTTTTTTAACAGCCTAATTTCCTGGCAATAATAAAGATGAAGCTTTTAGATTATAGAATGTTTCTTCAACTACTCAGAAGTAAAAGGAAAACTTCTAATAACTTTATTTTCTGCAGTTACAACCTTATCACTGGAAAGATTAAGCTCTTGTGCATATTGTTAAAAGCTTTTTATTTTATGAATAGTGATGAGTGGTTAAATTTCGATTTTGGATAACTGTTTTCTATATCTTTGTGCCTCAAATCTCTCTATAGTCATCTGTGCCATAATAATAATACGTTTATTCTTGTATAATGGTTTACAGAGTAGACTCTGTATTATGTTTTTTAATCATCTCGAATTTATTTTTTTATTCATTTATCAACCAATACTTATTAAACACCTAATATATGTCATGCACAGTGGTTTATAAACCCTATGAGTTAGGCATTACTATTATTATTACTCTGTTTTACAAATGAGAAAACCAAGACCAAGGGAAGCTAAATAATTTATTTAAGGTCACGTATGTAAGAGGGAATAACATATATTGATAAAGAGTGTAAATTCTGGATCCAAATTGCCAGGGTTTAATCCTGGCTCTGCCATTTACTAGCTGTGTGACCTTGGGTAAGTTTCTTAACCTCTCTGTGTCCTAGTTCTCTTATTTATAAAATCAGAATAATTACAGCACATGCATCATAGGTTGGATCACTTACAACAGTGCTTAACACATAGTGACTGCTCAATAAGTATGGCTATTATTAATTACTACAAGTAAACTGTGGTTCAAGGACTTGAACCAGATCCTCTGACTCCACATTTGTTGCTTTCTATCATACTGTACTGCCTTTATAATATGATATAAAATTGTTATTTCCTGATAGCCTGAGATTTAAATTCAAACTCTGAAGTATCTGCAGTACATTTTTCAATAATTATATTTTTTAGTTCATAATCATAGGCAATCATATGGGAAAATGTACTGATGATTCGCTATTCTCTGTCCATCACTATTGAATGGCAAATAAAAAGTTTGGCAGAGAACAAACCACTACATCTGGTTGTGGGCAACAGCACCTTAATGACAGAATATGATCCCCATAAGGAAATGTTTATGTTAAAGGAAAAGAATTCCTTCAGACCAGTGTACCCTGTAATATTGAGCAGAGGCTTCCTGATGTTTGCTGTCATCAAGACAGACCAAACAGCCTGAAGCATCCTGGGGATGCTTGCTTTCACCCTAGGAGACTTTCATTCTTTGAGTTTTTGAGCCAGCAATAAGGGCAAGTGTCTCCAAACTGTGTTTCGATGCAAGAGGCAGTATTGTCTAATTCTAATGCATGGTTCTCAGTCTTGACTGCTCATTAGAACCACCAGAGGAGCTTGTAAAAATTCCCATGTAAAGGGCACACCCTCAGACCAATTACATCAGGATCTGGGAGCAGGACCAGGCAGCAGTAGTTTTTAAAGCTCCCCAGGTGATTACAATGTACAACCAAGGGTTGGAAAGGCTCTAAGGGGAAGAGCATGATGTCAGAAGTTAGAGACTCAGCCCTGTAATAGTTTGTGATTTAGGATAGTCATTTAACTCTTTGTATTTTGTTAAATTTCCATTTATTGACAAAAACATTCTTTTCTATTTTAAGTTGTTCTATGGTTAGTATGAGATAATATGTGTGAAAATAAAACATGCAAGTTGATGCTATTATATTTCTTTGGACATGACAGTCCCAGCAGTGGGGAAAACATTTTAAGATCGATCTATACAGATGTTGGACAAGAGGTGTGCATATGGGGAACAATAAACAAAACAAAACAAAACAAAAAAACAGTGAAAGTGTTGGCTGGTAATCTGCAGAAGGAAGAGAAGGAAGAACTATATTGTGGCAAGAGAGGATTTTCTACCAGACTGCAAAGCTGCCACAAAGGCAAGATATGATACTGATGGGGGAATTTCAACTTCAAGAACTTCTGATTTCACAGGTCCTTTTTTCTTGTTCGCTCTCTTGTGCTCTCACACACTCTCTCTTATTCTCTCTCTTTCTCCTGTTCTCATTCCTTTATTATTTCCCTCCAATCAACATTATTTATTGAGCATCTTCTTGCCTAGACAATGGGCTGTGTATTGAAGACAAAAAGGTAAGTATTATAATAAGCTTTTTGAGGAGTTTACAGTCAGGTGGTAAAACGGACAGGCAAGTGAAAAAATTATAAGAGTAAAATAGAAAGCATTAAAATAAAAGTTTGTACAAATACTGTGGCGTTTTTCCTCTCTGAGATAGTAGAGGGAGCAATAAAGAAAATGTCAATGATATAAAATTAATTGGAATGAATAGCCCCATAGAAAACATTACTCAACCTTTCTGTTTGTTCATCTGTAAAGTGGGTATTATAATGGTAACCACTGCATACATTCTTTACAGTGCCCATTATATAGTAATAACTCTATTAACATTAGTTATTGTAATCTAAAGAAAACAATAAGATCTCACTAAGAACTTTGGGGAGCTCACATTACCCTCCTTAATGGAAAAGAGGAGTATATATCCAGATATAAATGAAGAGTATTATTAAAGCCTATAAGAATGTGTATGTATGTGTGCTTGGGCATGTTCGAAGTAAGAAAAAAAATTAAAGAATAGATAGGAACATTGCTGGTGAAAATCATGTAATATTAATAGAAGAAAACTATTCACTTTAAATGTTTTTTTATCGACGACAAATTTCATCAAGCAAGAAGAGATTAATTGATCATTGTTACGAAGGAAGTTCTAGATGAGTGCAAGACTAGTGGAGAGCATCTAGTTGGTTAAACAATTCAAGACTGTAAACCTAGGACAATTGTAAGAAACAGGGAGATGATAGATGATTGATAGATGGTAGCTAGCTAGCTAGATAGAGTATATGTTTGTATACGATCTGACTTAATAGTATTTCATGTACAAACTACCAGTGCCTTAAGCATAATAGATTTTATGTGAATTTGATTGAAGGCATAAGGCTTACAATTAACCACAAACATATGAGCCAGTGGTGTAATGGAATTTCCAGAACATACTAAGACAGATCAGAGCTGAGTTGATAGAAAGGTAGCACACAGATCGAGGAAGGTAGTAACTAATTTGCATCTTTATTATTCAGACAAAACCAACATCCTGAGCCAGTTCTGGGTGTAGACTTTAATAGGAACATCAATAAATTTCTTTGCCAGGATGGTGAAGTTGATTGGGTCTCTAGGAAATCATGTCTTAAGAAACAGTTGAAAGAACTAAGGCCACCCTGGGAGCTATCTTCAAATATTAGAAGGGCTCTCTCCCATGGGAGAGGGAAGAACTTTACTCATTATTGCCCCAGAGGTCGGAACTAGGACCATTGGAAACTCAGCACTCAGATTAAGGAAGGACGTTGTGACCTTACTGTCTGTCAATGGGACAGGCTGTCTCCCAACAACAAAGAGGAGTGTTTTTTGTTGTTGGCAAGGGATTCATTTAGAGCCTGGATGATCATCTATTGCAAATTCTTACTTTGTGGAAGATCAAGATCTGTAATGTCACTTCTAACTCCAAGATTTTATTTTTCCACTTGAAGTGCTTGGTTAGAATATTGTGGTCTCTGTAGTTTCTACATGAGTTATTTTAATACCTTCTTCATTGCTACATAAGATATATACACAAATGTCATTATAATGAAAAGTTTCAAAGTCACAATCTACTTTTTTCAAACAATATCCAGTATTACCAAGTTCAAATAAAAAGAAAAAATTTGGAATTGTCTGAGCATTGTAATATCTATTGAAGTATATAGTGTGTCATTGCCACATATCAACTTAACAAGAAGTGAATTATTTCAAGCTTTGCACTATTATTAAAGAATACGTGCATAGCTCCTTTTTTATACTTTAATTTCAGTGTTTAAAGATCTAAATTTCATTGGACAGTATTATAAGTGGAAGAAAATGGAGCTGAAACATTCTAAAGAATGGCATTTAAAGTAAGTAATTTTAAGTATCTAGAATATATTATCCTATTAACTTGAAATAGCTACTGTTTCACTTTCTGCTGTCTAACTGAACCATCCGGAGGAACCCTTTGGAAATAACAGCTTATTCCATTATTAAAACATAGCAACAAGATTTATAATTTTTTCCTTTCATATGAATCCAAGTGGGAGATATCTTTGCTACCTACTGGTTGCCAAAAATGGAGATAGGGCATGAACCTCCATGAAGGAATCACTGTCTCCATTAATACTCACTCCCATTTCTATTATCCTTGTTAACACATGACTTAGAAATAGAAAAACAAAACAAAACAAAATAAAAATCCTAGTTTTATAGTACCAATTAACTTTTCATTCTTCTCTTAGTTCCAAATATCTTTTCCTCTTCCAGATTTCTCACTCAGAAACTATATTACATCTAATGAGGAATTATGTAGTAAAATACAAAAAGAAATTATTACAATATCTTCAGAAATCATTGATTCTTAGAGCAATGATTAAGGAAGGAATCTTAATCTCCGCCTAGACTCTGGACTCTTAGAGGCGTCTTCTGCTTTATCATGCTGGAGCAAAAAGGTTCCATGTCAGTTCTGCAGTGTTGGCTAGGTTGTAGTAGTCATTTATTCTCATATGCTTATTTCAAAGTACTCAGTGAATGTGCTGTCACAAAGCTAGGGGAATGAAAGATCTTATTTTTTGCATTTATCTTGTTTACCTCATTTTTTAGCTCTTTGGCTTGTTAGCAATGTGCCCTCTTTTCTAGATGGAAATATAGGCTTAGTAAAAATAATGTGCTGTGTTTTGAATTTGTGTAGAAATAGAGGTTCTTAAAATATACTTTCCTACCCTTTACCATCACAGTTCAAACTGAGTTTTTCAGTTAGATATTCTTTTTTTCAGTTGAACCCTGCAACAACTTTTCTTCAGGCTAAAGTGGAAAAAAGTATTTGCGTTAGATACTTTTCTGCTTTCAGAATAAATTATAGGCAGTAGAAAAGTTTTTATTAAGCAGAATTTGAAGGAGTACAAGCATGTTTTTTCTTGAAGCCATATTTTAAGTTTCATTTAGAGTTAAAGAAACCTACTTAGAACATAAGGTTAATTTTGCTTTAACATGACATCCTCTTTTATTTTCTTTAACAGAACTACTTTGTTTTATTTATTTGATCATTGATTCATTATGTAATGCCAGCATCCCACAGAACTCCAAAATTTAAAAAAAGTAGGACCATGTCATTTTCAACTTATACATCCACTTCTAGATATGGATGAAATAATTGTGAACTGTGAGTGCTAGAACGTTTTTCCAAATACATTATTTTGAAGTTACAGGTCAAATTATCATGTACATAAATGACTCTGTCAGAATAAAACTCTCACACCTTATGCCATCTGGTGGTTGATGAGAATATATTTAGATCAGATAATATTTGCTTCTTTTAAAATTTGGAGTTGATTAGTAAAAAAAACCCACCACGTAAATAAAGTTTTAAAAAGATACTGCCTTTTTCTCTATAATTGTACCATGGCGTAAATATTTGAGTATGCAAAAATCTAAAGTATGGTGGAATCAACTTCTTTTCAGGTAATTATTAAAAGTCTCATAGTCATCAAAATACATAAAGTATAATAAAGTGGTCAATTCATAGAGATTTAAGTAGAAAATGTTTGGAGATCTATACAAGTGAGTAATTTGTCTATATGTGTATGCACTATAATAATACCATTATGCATCTCTTTTTATTTTTGAAAATGCTTTTCTTTCACTGAAATTTCTTATTAAAAAACCAAACACAACAGAAAATGCAAATTGAGAATCTTCATCTGCATAGCATTAAGGGAAAAGAGAGACCTATTTTTCCTGCCTCATATCCCTCCTCCTACTGTCCTCCTATCCCCTCATCAATCAAGACCCGATTCTTAAGCCACACTAAATTCCCTTTTCTATTATTTGGGGACATAGGATCTTTTCACCACTTTGTGACTTCTGCCTGGGATATCTTTCCCAGTAGGGTCTTTGCTGGTGGTCTAGAGTTAGGGTTTGGTCTGAGTTAAAATGTGGAATGTGGAGTGTTTAAGTTCAGGGGCCCTGGAGCCAGATTGTCTGTATTTGAATCCTGGCTCTGCCAACTACTCACTCTGTGACCTCGGACAAGTTATCTGACTTCTTTATGCCTCAGTTTCCTTCTCTGTTAAATGGCAATGATAACTGTACTTACCTCTCAAGGAGTTTGTGAGGATTAAATAAATGAATACTTGTAAAACACTTCAAACTATCTCTGGAACATAACAAATACTCATAAGGTTTGCTATTATTCATGCTTTTTCTACTGCAGCCCTGGTTCAAGTTTCAGATGGAAAAATCTTTCTTTGGAAGTAGCATGGGGAAAAAGCATGGGCTCTAGAATCAGGCAGATCTTGGAGAAATTCTTACCCACACTGAGCTTGTTTTCTTATCTGTTAAATGTAGATAACATTACCTATCTTGCAAAGTTGTTTTGCATTTGATCTCTTGAATGAGATCATGTATGTATGTATGTATGTATGTATGTATGTATGTATGTATGTATATAGTGTTGACACATGGACATTCAATTAATATTGCTTCCTGAGGAGAGGGGAAGATAAAAGTCCATGCCTACCAACTTTTTAGAGAATAAAAGTCTCCATCAGAAACATGTAAAAATTGTAAAAATTTTCTCAGGTGAAAAAACAAAAGACAACATATACCATGACTGCATTTATTTTAGTCCAATTATATGCATGGTTCTTTTTCCTTCTCCACTCCACCTCTACCATCTCTTCTGCCTGGAAAAGTGCTTCACAAGAATGGTGTGAAGCTCCAGCTCCAATGTCTGTTTGTGGAAGGGCCCTGGCATGCTCAGCCTTCCATGTCTCCCTCCATAGAACTCTGTCCCTTGCTCCTTCAGCCCCTATTGTATGGGACTTCATCTGTTCCTAAAGAGTGACCGAGGAAGGCCCATTCTTGGAGCTCTGTACTCTCTGACATTAGCATGGTACCTGGTAACTAGTAGGCACTCAGTTAGTGTCTGCTGAATGATGCCCACTTACCCTATTTCCACCCTTAATAGGATTAAATTTGAAGACAGTTTTAAAATAAAATAAAATGTAGCTTCTGACTTCTATTAAGGCTCACGCTAATGTAGAGATTATGATTCTATCTTAGGAAGTCTAAGTGTGTCATCATAGAACAGTGATCGAAAACTGGAAATATAAATGACTGTCATGAATATTTTATGTGAATTATTAAGTTCCACACAAGTTTTTAGTTAGTATTAATAAGAACCCATTGTCATTATAAGCAGCTTATAAATATTTATGAATTGATTATTTGGTTTGGTGTTCATTTCTAAGGCTTTTTTTTTTTTTTTTTTTTTGCCCCTTTCCTATTGCCTTGTCTATCTTTTGGCTATTCATGTAAATATTTTATTCTAAACAACACGTGGGGAAAATATATGAATCTAGACTCTAATCAGTAGTTCATATATATTTTCTCTAAAGAAAGATACAAAATAAAAAGCAATGTAAGCTGTTCTTTTGAATATTCTTATGCACATGTAAAACTATTTTTATACCATACTCTATACCTAATGATTGCTTATATGGTAGTAGTCTAAGCTTTGTCAGCCAGAAAGTTATCTAAATAAAAGTTATCAGTTCTGGAGACGTTTTACATTCTATGTAGCTTTAGAAAAGAGTATTGCTCTTGTTTATGCATAGGAAGTACAGCGGGAACAGGAACTAACACGGCAAAGCGCCTGCTCTGTGCCAGACATTCTCCCTTTATTTCCTAATGTAACACTGGCTGGCCGCCCTGGAATTGACAGTTATACTTCTAAGTGTACTCATATATTTCTAAGTGTAACACACAATAATATCCATCTGTCTTCTTCAAAGCCACAACAAATCAACCCACACTCCAAGTCGAATCATTTTTCTTATTATACAGACGCGGCTTCAAGACAAGGTTCCTAGCCTCTTCCTTCAACTAAGTTGTCACCCCTGAGGCACAAGGAGATTAAAGAGAATAACTTGCCTGAAGTTACTGATAAACATATGTTGTCTTTGAAAACTAAAACTAAATTATTTCCTATCAGCCTATTAATATGTACTGATTTAAAAGCCTAAAATTTTCAAGTAAGTGTAAAAACATTACCTTCCCAATTATAAACACAAATCAAATCTACCTTCTGATGAAAAGTTCTGTGGTTTTTCCTGTAGTGTCTGATTCCGAGAGTGTTTTTACTCACAAATATATGTGATCTTCCTTTAGCATAACTATGTTTGGTTCCCTTTTCTCCAGTTATATAGAAAATGTTTATGCTGCGTACATTAATTTAATGTACGTTTGTGCTATCCTTTCAGAGTTCCTGAAGTTAAACATTTTATAGGTTGACATTGTTATATATTTAATGCATTTTTAAGGAGGAATGCTAGCTTTTTTATTCCCCAAAGATTAAACCTTGAATGCCATCTTGTGGTTAAAGAGAGAATTAGCATAAAAAATAATGTCTGCCAAGCAACTACTTAGTCTCTGCTTGGTTGTTTTGAGAGATAGGGAGCTCGGGACTTCAAGGAGCATTCAAATATCTCGAATCTTCCTTATTTTTAACTTAAATCGAACATCTTATGATATTCAACCATTCCAGATTTCTTGCATTCATTTTACAGATTTTTATTGAACACATACTCTATGTTTTTACATTTGTCTGCAAAAGCTTTCAGAAAATAAGCAATTATCTTCATTCTATAAATAAGATATACAGAAATGTTTCATTTGGTTTCTCCCCTAAGGTTACACACTCAGTAAGTGACAGAGCTGAAATTCAAATCCAGGGCTGCCAGATGCTACAACCCATGCATCTTTCTATTAGATCAAGCAGCAACTCAGACACTGAAAACCTTTGAACATGGGTAGAAGGCATGATTCAGGGGATGCTGTTATGGCAGAAAGTATCGCTACTTGTCCTTGGA